CTTCCTTCCTTCTTTCTTTCTTTCTTTCTTTCTTTCTTTCTTTCTTTCTTTCTTTCTTTCTTTCTTTCTTTCTTTCCTTTCTTTCTTCTTTCTTTCTCTCTTTCTTTCTTCTTTCTTTCTTTCTTCTCTTTCTTTCTTTCTTCCTTTTTTTTTTTACAGAGAGATTTTTTGCTATAGGGTCTGTGCACATGTCAGAGAGACAGAGAGACAGAATGTGAGAAATAACCCCCTAGGGGGACAGCCATGCCTCATCCCTTCTCCTTTATCCTCCTCTCAGGATTTTGGGCACCCACACACACATGCCCAGAGTGAGTTTTAAGCTACCAGGTCTGGGACTCAAACTGCAATTGACTACATAGGAGTCCAGTGACATAACCATTACGTCATCTGCTGGTCTCTGTTTCTAGGCTATTTCTAGCCCATTAAAATAGATGTTTTCTTTTAAAGCATGACCATATCTTTCTAATATTAGAAACATTTTATCTACCACTATTCTATGTTTGGGGCAAAAAATGACTTTTTTTAACTTAAAAAAAAGATAGTGGGCATGTGTGTTTGGGGGAGACAGAGAAAGAGAGAGAGAAGAGAGAAGAGAGGAGAGAGAAGAGAGACAGAATCTTCCAATGAGGCATGGTTGTGCCACAATCTTTTTTTCTCCCTTCCTGGATCCCTTCAGATTTGGCGCATGCGCGCTTGCACACACACACACACACACACACACACACACACACACGTGCTCGGAGTGCTTTTCAAGCTGCTGGGGCTGAGATTTGAACATGGGAATCCATCTTTCTATGCACAGCACATAACAGCTGCATCACAGAGCCATCCCATTTTATTTTTAGAACAGTTTGAGGTTTATAGCAAAATTAAGGAAAAGGCACCAAGATTTCCCATGTACCCTCTGTGCCCTCCCCTCCATATGCATAGCTTCCCCAACTATAAAAAAAGCAGACTACTTTTTTTAACTTTTAAATAATTCTATTTATTTATTTATTTATTTATTTATTTATTTATTTATTCAGATCGAGTTTATTTATTTATTGAGCTCACCAGATTGAGAAAGAGAGAGAGAGAGACAGGGGGAAACTGAGAAAGCAAGCTGCCCAGTCCAGGACTTGAACCACAGTCAGACATGTGGGACTTCAATGCCTTAACCACCATGCCACCCAGTGGCCCCCCCAAAAGAAGACTGCTTTTTCAGCTTTCTGTTCAAGTATATTTTCAAGTTGCCAGAGATTCTCTCAAGTGTTCATTTGATTTATTTTGAAAAGGGGACTAGTATTTTCTGTTACCTCTTTGCTAGGACTTTAGTAGGGGGGAAAAAAAAAGTAAAACTATTTCTTTACTTTTGGCTTCAAAAGAACAGTGAATCAAGGAGCTAAATTAATTATGGTGTCATAGTTCCTTCTACAAGAAGTATTTAACCAATTTTCTACTGGATTTATGTCAACTCAAAATCATATTATCATTACTGCATAATTTACCATTGGAGCTTTCTGTGCCAAGCAACCAGAAGAGTTATCATTTGTAAGCAAAGCAGTTGGAATGGAAATAATAAGAAACATTCAGGGAAAAATATTCTTTAATGTACAAAAGAAACCCTTGAAATACTGTCTGTTAACTTATTAGCCAGATTTCAGTTCATTTTTAGGACTAAAGTAGAGTTTTATTCACTATATTAGGGAACTCCAGAAAGCAGAGGTGAGAAAAAGTAACACTGATTTGGGCCAAGAGTTCATCGAATTCATAACGGTCATAAAAGCACTTCCTTAAGAATCCTTGCTTTGCTCTAATGGACTCTTTAATTCACACTCTGCACCTCTCACTAGCTCCTCAGGTTTCCTCTCTCCACTTTCTTTCTTTCTTTCTTTCTTTCTTTCTTTCTTTCTTTCTTTCTTTCTTTCTTTCTTTCTTTCTTTCTTTCTTTCTTTCTGAGAGGTGTTTTTTGTTTGTTTTTTGTTTTTTGGTTTTTTTTTGCCATAGAATGTGTGCACTCACTGGAGACACAAAGAGAGATATGGAGAGAGAAAAAGTGAGAACTTTCTCCTCTTGTGGTCCTGGGCACAAATGTACATGTACCCAATGTTTCAAGCTGCCAGGTCCAGGACTTGAACCGCGGTTGACCATGTGGACGTCTAGTGCCTCAATCACCACACCACCTACTGGTCCCTGTTACAGTTTTTAATAGCAGAGTTAGCAGGATCAAAATTGGAAAAATTGAGGGAATTTTTAAAAGTTGAAAAATTGAGAAAAAAATTTTAAGTTTTTTAAAAGTATTGGGGGGGAGCAGGTGGCATAGTGATTAAGGTGTTGGACTCCCAGATAGATGGTCAACCGTGGTTTGAGTCCTGGACCAGGTGGCAGCTTGAAACTCAGCCGGGTATGAATGTGTGCATGCCTAAAATCCCAAAAGGAGAAAGGAGAAGGGATTGTGGCATGGCCATCCCCCCTAGAAGGGTGATTTCTCACCTTCTGTCTCTCTGACTTTCTCTATCTCTCTGGTGAAGGCACATGCCCTAGAGTAAAAAATCTCTCTCTCTAAAAAAAAAAAAAAAAAGAAAAAGAAAAGAAAAAAGATGGAGGTAATATCAAGAGGCCCAAAACGTACAAGCTGGTCATTCACTAGCTTCAGAGCTGGTGAAAAGTTGGCCCATACTGGCCTCCAGTTTGGCTAAGATGTTTGTCTTCAGTGTTCCACCTTGTTCAAGGAAGGTGCCGTGCTGCCTTGGAAGATCCTGCTGAGGCTTGTGACATAAGGAATGTGTTATTTTAAAATGACCTGAATAAAAGTAGAATCTTCCATGTTTGTTGCACAACTTGGCTAAATCTGCAGCATGGGAATATGTGAAAAATAAACCTGCAATAAAACAGTCTGAAATTGAAGTTCCTTTTTAAGAGACTAAATCACATTTCTCCTCTGATATGGGTAAGTCTATTTAAGAAGGTGAACTGTTGAATTTTTTTATTAGTAAAATATATATATATATTTTTTTTTTGGAGAAGTTTTCACTATAGGGCGCGTGCGTTTGCCAGACAGACAGAGAGAGACATAGAGACAGAAAGCGAGAAATCACCTCCCAGGGGGGATGGTCACGCTGCAATCCCTTCTCCTCCATTCTCCTCTCGGGACCTTGGGCACACACGCACACGCGCCCGGCGTGAGTTTTAAGCCACCAGGTCCGGGACGCGAACCACGGTTGATTACGTGGGAGTCCAGCGACATAACCATTACGCTAACTGCTGGTTCCCAGTAAAATATTTTTAAAAAGTTAAAATAAATAAGAATGATCAGTTTATGGGCCTGGTTCTGAGAGCTTAATTTTGCTTTTATTATATCACATTCTATGTGACCAACTTCGTCTCTACTGGAGTTCTAATTGGATTCTGAAATATTACAGGTTATTGTATGGTGTGAAAACTTCTATAAGCAAATGACATTTTCTTGCCTAGTACAAAGTTCCATGCAGGTGACCCAAATTCCATCCTTCATCTCTGCAGGTTTTAAATCCATTCTACGTATTCCAAGCCTTCACCCTAACTTTGTGGCTGTCTCAAGGCTATATAGAATACTCTGTGGCCATCATCATCTTGTCTCTTATCTCCATTGTTTTAAGCGTGTATGATTTGCGACAGGTAAGAACGGAAATTAGTCTAATTCTATTTAGTTGGATTCTATTTAGCTGTTGGCAAAGAAGCAAAGTCTACAGAATGTCTGCTGAAAACAAGGAGTTCCTTGTCAAACATAAATCATAACAAAACAGAAAATAAGGACTTAACCAAATGTAGGATCTCAGGAGAAGGTCTTCAGGAACACCAGGTAGATGTAAACGTCCTTGCCAACTCTGACGAACTCAAGGCTTTATTAAATATTGTGGGGCCAGCAAGTGCTGTGGAGGTTAAGACACTGGATTCCATATGGTGAATGACAGGGTTTGAGTCCCAGACCCTGCAGTTTAAAAATCACTCTGGGCTCATGTGCATGTGTGCCCAAAATCCTGAGAGGAGACAGGAGGACAAGGGATTGTGGTGTGGCCATTCCTCCTGTGGAGTGATTTCCCACTTTCCCTCTCTCTCTTTCTCTCCATTTCTCTCTTTGGTGAGCACAGGCACACTACAGAAAAAAAAAAAAACAAGAAAAAAATATATTGTGTTAAGGACTCTGAGGGGACCAGCAGTTGGAGTAATGGCTATGTCACTGGACTCCCATGTAGTTGACCGTGGTTCAAGTCCCGGACCTGGTGGCTTAAACTCATGCTGGGCGCGTGTGCGTGTGTGTCCAAGATCCCGAGAGGAGAATGGAGGAGAAGGGATTGCGGTGTGGCCATCCCCCCGGGGGGTGATTTCTCACTTTCTGTCTCGAGCGCACGTGCCCTATAGCGAAAACCTCTCAAAAAAAAAAAAAAAAAAAAAAAAAAAAGAAAGGACTCTGAGCACCGTAGGAGGAAATACTCTAATGTGCTACTGAGGTCAGTCAAAGGTTTAGGAAGATGGAGGACTATGCAACAATACACATTAATCTAAACGTTATGCCCCTTAGAACATTTCTACATTATTTCCCCTGACGTAAATATGACATGCATCCTACACATTTCCCATCTAAACATTCATGACAAATTTTAATCTCCCTTAAAAGTCCTTTATAATGTCTATTTCTCCATTTGGAATTCAAGTCTTCCTTTTTTTTTTTTTTTTTTTAAGAAAACTGCAAAAATATATACATTCCTGTATGGAAGGTAGGGGAAGAGCTATAAAAAGAATCGGGTTTAATTTTACTTTCTAGGGACCAGCAGTTAGCGTAATGGCTATGTCGCTTGACTCCCATGTAGCTGACCATGGTTCGAGTTCTGGACCAAGTGGCTTAAGCTCACGCCGGGCGCATGTGCGTGTGTGCCCAAGATCCCGAGAGGAGAATGGAGGAGAAGGGACTGTGGCATGGCCATCCCCCTTGGGGGATGATTTCTTGCTTTCTGTCTCTCTTTCTGGTGAGCACACGTTTCCTATAGCAAAAACCTCTTAAAGTTTTACATTCTACAAGACAGTTTTCAGCAAGAGAATTACTTGAGAATTCTGATCTATTCCATCAAAATCCCCACTTAATAACAGGAATCTGTGTTGGCCATAGTTCCATAAGAGGTGATCGTTAAATATTTCAAAGGCTTGAGAGCATTTACGGGATAAACCACCAAAGGATAAAATTCAAAAACCAAGACCCCACATACATATACTTATTAATGGCATCATCAACAAAACACATTTTTACATACTTTTTACTCTAAGTATGCATATACACAAGTTTACATGGAGATGTATAGATTTGGTTTGTTTTAATTAATAAATCTTACTATGTGGATTAATATGAAGCTTTTGTGTTTCTCAGTTATATTTGTAATGGCACTCTACTATATGAACAAATCATTCTAAATCGAGTTTACAAATTATAGTATAATATCCCATGGTATAGCATAACTTATTAAATAATTCTGTTATTTATGGAAAATAAGGTGATTTCCCCCAATGGCTGCTATCACAAATAATGTTGAATTAAATGTAACTACAGTGTAGACGTGTTCTTACGTACTAGTGTTTGTACTTTTTATTTCTAGCACAGTAATCAAAAGCTACGGTGCTGGATCAAAGGATATGTGTTTTTTAAATTTTAATAGATTCTGCTACATTATTTTCCTCAAATGAAATAATTCCTCTTACCTGCAACATAAAAAAGTTTCCATTTCCCAGATCTTCACCAGCATTGGGTGTTGGATATTAATATTTTAAAATGTTCAGTCTCATAAGTTTTTAAGAAGTGTGTCTCTTTGATGCTTTAATTTACATTTCTCTGATTACTAGTGGGAGTAGACACATTTCCTTTTGTTTAACAGAGTTCTACATTTTTCTTCTATATAAATGGCCTCTTTATATCTATCGTATATGTGTAAAAGTTTTATTTTTTAGTCTACCTTTTTTTCTCTTGACCTTGGCTTTTGCCATGGAAACAATTAAAAATTATGTAGAATCACATGCATTTTTTCTCTTTTCCTTTATGGTTTCTGATTTTCCTATTTGGTTTATAAAGGTCTTCCTTTCCAATGTTAATTAAGCCTTGTTTTTTTTCTATGAGTCATATTGGCTTAATTTTATTTTAAAATCTTTAATGGCATTTGAACATTCAGATTCTTCATCTTAACAGAATCCCTAAATTCCTTTGCACAAAACAATGACTAACAAGGAAACTTTAGACTTGCTAGTAGTATTGCAAAGGGTTTCTTTAAAGAGAAGGAAAGGTAATAGGAGACAGACACCTTAGCAGCTAGTACTTAGTAACACCATGAAAGTGTATCTGGCCCAACCTGTAAGCCATCTTACAACATTATACAAAATGGGCCAATTTCCTGAAACTGTGTTTTTAGAGTTTAAATCACGCATCCTCAAAAATCAATAGCACTTTACAGTTTATAAAGGGCCACCCATCCATAATATATGTGTGTGGCATGGTAAATTGTAAAATGGAACATAAACGTTGTCATGCCCTCCCTCCATGTGAGTGGACAAGGCAGCGGCAAGAGAGATGCAGTGACTTGCTCACACTCACCAGTAATCGCGGCCACCGGCCTTCACGCCAGGTTGCCTGACTCCAGGTCAGGTCCTCCGCTCTGTTCCATCAAGTACCATCTCAAAGTGGCTGTGAACTTTTGCAGCAGGGAGATTTGGGCAAGGGGGTCAACAGGAGTGACAGAAGAACCTCCGCTGCCATCTGCAAATCAACCTGTGCATCATTGAAGTTCATTCGTTACTGAATTAAAAACTTAGCTAAACAAATGCGGGCTTCTGTAAACTAAGAGGGGAGGTGCTGGCAGGAGTGGAATAGACACCTTCCTGCCTTGACTCTAGCTCTAAATTGTGCCACTCAGAAACAGCTTACCTCATCTGAGTCCGGAAACACCCCTGCTGCAGTCCCTCTCTAACAAGCGTGGTGCAGGTGTGAGTACACACCTTGACACTCAGTTGAATTTACCTTGAACTGTACTTACACACTCCATGGCTGGGCTCTACTGCCACACGCAGCTGCTAGAAATGGCACTGAGAGAAACTGGCCCGTTGTCCTTTGGCTTCAGTCATGACTGAGCCGGGCTCAAGAGGCACCTGAGTTAATGTCCTCATTACTCATCACTGGAGGAAATCTAGCCACAGCAAACACAAGACATGCAGCAACAGATGCTGAATAATAACAGTATGCAAATTGGTCTTGGAAACTGATCCTGGGCCCACTGAAGAGGGACCAGAGAAACCAGAGGAGGCCTAATGAAAATCAGGCAATGAGCTTCACAGTCATGGCAGGCCTCATAGTACTTGCCTTCCCCTGGCTGGGTGGTTGTCATAGAAACCTGTGTTTGCAGAGTTTCCGAGTACATTAGCTCAAACAGTATGCTTGAATCATCCTACTCCAGTGTTGCTGGGAGAAGAATTCAGTTCTCTTAAATATGTATTTCCTGAGGGCCTACTATGTGATAGCTTTGAAGGATACATTGATGAATAGATGGTCTCTTTCTTCTGTAAATAGTGATCCTTGCAGAGGAGCCCTGAGGAGGCAAGGATAGCTGTCATGGAATGTGATTGGTTCACTTGCAAAGAGAGCAGAGCAACGCAGTCTTCCTGGGAATGAGAGGGACTTCTGCAGGGGAGGTGACATTTGAGCAGGGCTTTAGGGTGAAAGATTAGAAGGATTTTGCTAGGAGAAAACTGTGGAGAATATTCTAGGGGCTATCTTGAGCAAAGGCCCAGACGCATGGCACTTTACTCTGAATGCTAAGTCTGACAGACAGAGCCCAGCATAATGAGTTTTGAGAATGATACTTAAGTTCTACCAACTTGTCTGTCACCACTTCCAAATGTGTTGGTTATTGTCCTCTTAAGCTAGGCTGAAATATTAATGGCATTGACTAAAAGAAGTTGCTAGGCAAGAAAAACAACTTCCACTTCCAAATGTGTTGGTTATTGTCCTCTTCAGATAGGCTGAAATTTTCATGGCATTGACTAAAAGAAGTTGCTAGGAAAGAAAAACTACTTAAAGAAATATAGAAAGATGTTTATCTTCTTAAAAGGGCAAAGCTGTTTTCAAGCATTTGTCAAGAACATATTCAATGGAAAAGGGTTTAGAATCAGATAAACGTGGGTTTGATTGCCAATCTTAATACTTAGTAAATGATTGTAGGCAAGTGACGTTGACATTTTCAACCACTGTTTTCTGTTTTTTATATTTACATTTAAGATAACGTTTTCATCATAGAGTTATTTTGAGGTTTAGGGGGAAAAAAATCAAACCTCCTGGCACGAGCATACATGGCCAAGACCCTGACAAGCTGGAGGGCTAGGTAGGAGAAGAGGGTTATAGAGTGAGGCAACCCTGTCAAGAGTGATTATCTTTCTGTCATGTGCAATACACACACTTTCTACTGTGAATAAAATAAGTAAATAAACTTGGAAGCCATCAAACAATATATTCCAAATACCTATAGCAGTGCCTGGCACAGAGTAGCTGTTTAATATTTTTAAATAATAATATTTTAATTTTTGTTTTGTTTTGTTTGTTTTTGCTATAGAGCATATGTGCTTGCCAGAGAGAGAGAGGTAGAGAGAAACCACCACCCACTCCCACCTCCCCCACACTGCACCCAGGGAAGAGGGCCACGCCACAATCCCTTCTCCTCCATTCTCCTCTCAGGATTTTGGGGACACACCTTGCTCAGTGTGATTTTTCAAGCCACCAGGTCTGGCATTCAAACTGTAGACTTGGCCATGTGGGATCCAGTGCCTTAACTTCATGCTGCCTGCTGGCTCACTGATATTTTAAATTTTTAAAATATTTACTTAAAAATAATAATGCTACAGTTTGAATCATTATATCCCTTCTGTATTTTCTCTATGAAGCTTTGAGGGTTTTAGATAATCTCTAACGTGCAAAATAAATCTGTACCATACCATTTTGGGGCTTACAGGACACTTAAATATAATCCAATTCAATGTCATCTGTTTACAGAAGAAACAACTAACTTGGAAGTTGAAATTTCTTACATACAATAGATGGCTGGCTAGTGGCTAAGGCTGATAGACACCCAGGAATCCTGAGTCAGTCCAGAGTTCCTGCCCCAGAATCACGGCTGATTTTCACTATTATCTACCATTATAATACACGTGCTAGGAAGTCCTTTCAGGGCAATGCACCTATGCTCAACAGTAATATCACTTCTTCCACTCAATTGGTCCAAATTATTGAAGTTTAACTTTCCATGTATAACTGAAATAAATAATTTTTCCATATAAATATTAACACTGAATTCATTACGCTCTTTCAAGAGGAAAGTTGCATAATTGTATGTAATGCTTGTCTTAGCCTGCTGACATTTGCAACATTAAAAATCATCAACAGAACAGATCAAAATAATTTAACATCTAAAGGAAAAATGTTTTATTTTTGAATTAGATTAAGTTTCTTTTAAGTATCACTGACAATATTTGAACCCTCTTCTCCTTAGAAGCATCCCAGTAATGGATATCCATACAGAAAGAAGCAGTGCCTTCCAGGGCTGCTCAGTCCTGTTGCAGCTGGTCTAGTCCCAAGCTCTGACTGGCTGATGGCACCCCATAGTCAATACGGAAAACTGAAATCCCCTCTCATCTGCCTTTCTGCTGCCTGCATTATCCTAGGAGATGCTGCCTCCACTTCTCTGGACTTTTTATTTTTTGTTTTTTTTCACTTCCTCCACTGTTCACAAAGTCATAGCTCAATTCTACCTCAAGCAGGTCTTTTTAGGTGTACTCTCAAAACTTTCTTATTAATCACTAGCGCTGATGAGCTCTTAAATATTACTGAGTATTAGACAACATGCTTTATAAAAATTAACTATCTTTTTTTTTTTTTTTGAGAGGTTTTCGCTATAAGGTGCGTGTGCTCGCCAGAAAGACAGAGAGAGACAGAGCGACAGAAAGTGAGAAATCACTCCTCAGGGGGGATGGCCACACCACAATCCCTTCTCCTCCATTCTCCTCTCGGGATCTTGGGCACGCACACACACGTGCCCGGTGTGAGTATAAGCCACCAGGTCCGGGATTCAAACCATAGTCAACTACACGAGAGTCCAGCAACATGAACATTATGTCATCTGCTGGTCCCAGAATTAACTATCTTAAATCTTAAAATAATGCTACAAAATACATACTGTATCATCTCCTATTTCAGATGAACATAAAGGAGTTAAAGAGGCTAAATAACTCCTAAATGGTAGCACCATGATTCAAACCCAAGCAGCAAGACTCTAGTCTTACCTACTAGGACAATCAACGGGTTGTCAATGAGGGGATGGCTATTCCACATATAACCAAAGCACAAGCAACATAGTCACAGGTCCTTCCAAGTAGAAAGCCACTTCCAGAGCAATTTACTATTTTATAGAAGTATATAAAGAGAAGAAACCTGTTCACAGTCTTACTGTCCTTCCTCATTCTAGTTGTGCAATCCCAAGAAATGAAGCCTTGGTTCCTTGGTGTAAGTCCTTGAGGCAGTAGCTGTGCATTACTTTTCCCAAGAGTTAAATAACATTAACTTCATGAGCGTATTGACTGTTGCATGTCATGCGGTATGTGAGGTGGGAGTTGGGCCAGGGAGGCTGGAGCATCAGAAAAAAACGTTGAGTTTTCTGCCCAGAGTCAGTGGAACTGTGACAGCAGGTTTGGCATTTACCCTTGAGGTCAGTGGTTTCCGGGATATGGACTAATATTTGTACATGGACTTTTACTTGGCAGCAATCAGTTAAGCTGCACAACCTGGTGGAAGAACACAACAAAGTCCAGGTTACGACCATCGTCAAAGACAAAGGTAAGCCCTGTGTTCTGTCAGATTCCGACCCTGATATTTGTGGGTGGAACTGGTCTTTTCTGATTGAACCCAGGACTAGGGCTAGAGGGAGGCAAACAAGACATCTATATACAACATTTAAGGAGACAAGCTATGCAAACCCTATATCTGTAGGACCCTAAGAGTGAGTGCCTCATTAAGTTTTGCACCCTAGGAGTCTTGCTGGCTTCACTCTCATCCCAACCCTGATCGAACCATTTCTACCCTATGTCTGGGTCACTTCAAATTCCCTCCATCCTCCCTATTTCACTTATTTGAATATTACTGGGTAAGCTTTCTAAATGCTCTTTTATTTCCCCGAACAACCATACCCAAAGGACTCCGCATCATACGTTTTTTACTGCTATCTGGAACCTAGGCCCGAGTTAAGTTTTTAGATGACTAGCTGGACACTTGGCATTTTCTCTGAGTTAGTCTAGAATGCAGTGGCCATGGCTTTCTGCAAGGAGTCAGGAGCCCTGGGCAGTAGAAGTTATCTGGCTGATTTATATAAAGCCCCAATCTTAGGAGATAGTGTGCCACAGTGGGTCAGGAATCCAGACAAAGACAGCACAGATAACTTAGATTGTGGGGGTACAGCTGTTGCACAGCACCCCACAATCGGGGAGCCAATGCCAGAGGACCGACGTGTAGCTCCTGGCTAACCCGTGTACCCCAGATGTGCACGTATATGTCTGTAATTTTGGCTGACTGAAGAGCTGTGGGAAAGGGATCGGTGCATGAGACCCTACTGAGACTGCTTTTCTCTCTCTCTCTCTCTTATAAAATTAATACATAAAAAAAGAAAGAAAGAATAAATAGCAGAGAAGGCATTTCCCATCGACCAATGCCTTTGAGTATTCTCTGTGGCCAAGCATTGCACCAGTTATGAGGATCAAGAAAGCTTATTGCTGAGCCAACCCTTTGATAGGTCCCAGGACCAATTGCCTAATCCTGATTCTCTTGTAATTTTCAATCGAGTGGGAAGTGGGTTGAGCAACTCAACAGGTAGGATAACTCTTGGCCAACAGATTGATAATGATTTTCAGTCATCTTTATTCTTAAGCAAAAGTGGGAAAAGACCAACTAGTCATGGACGCTTTCTTGTTTTTTAGGTTTGCAGGAGATGGAATCCCGCCTCTTGGTTCCTGGCGACATTCTTATTCTTCCTGGAAAAATGTCATTGCCATGTGATGCTGTTCTGATTGATGGGAGCTGTGTGGTGAATGAAGGCATGCTCACAGGTAGGGAGTTGTCATGGAGCTTCCTCATCCCTGTTTCTCTTTTAGGCCAAGTGTCGGTCAGACCTGTGTAGACTTATCCACCTTACACCAGGCCCCATGCTAAGATACTCAAAGACAATGGAAATACACCCACCTTTTCATTCAAATGGACACACAATGTAAGAATTACGTCCCCGTAAATATGAAACTAGAACATCTAATACCATATGCGATTAATCGTCCTATTGTGGAGTGAATAGGGCACTTTAGATTGAGGAGAGGGTCAGGACACTGTACTGTCTGAAACACGGTCTTTTCCTAAATATGAGAATGGTTGTACACATCTCCAAATGAAGCACAACCGAAAACATCAACTTCCACAAAGAAGAGCAAAGAGATTTTATCCATTCCTATGGAAGAAAACAGATCCAGGATTCACTAGAAAAGATAGTAAGTTGAACCTTAAGGCAAACACAGTGTAACAGTTCTGTTCTTTAAATTTGCATTTCTCATTTAACTACTAAGCAGAAAATCCGTTTTCTAGTTATATTTCAAATGGTCCTAGTTCTCATTTGTACTTTGTAAAGTCTACTTGAATTTGTATAATTGGTAAAGCATTATGTGTAAAATATTCCTTAGGCAAAAAAAAAAAAAAAAGAAAAAAAAAAAAAAAAAAGAAAAAAAAAAAAAAAAAAGAAAAAAAAAAAAAAAAAAGAAAAAAAAAAAAAAAAAAGAAAAAAAAAAAAAAAAAAGAAAAAAAAAAAAAAAAAAGAAAAAAAAAAAAAAAAAAGAAAAAAAAAAAAAAAAAAGAAAAAAAAAAAAAAAAAAGAAAAAAAAAAAAAAAAAAGAAAAAAAAAAAAAAAAAAGAAAAAAAAAAAAAAAAAAGAAAAAAAAAAAAAAAAAAGAAAAAAAAAAAAAAAAAAGAAAAAAAAAAAAAAAAAAGGAAAAAAGAAAAAAGAAAGGAAATACACAGAACATTGTAATGTGATAAGGGATTATAAGCAACAAAAATAGACACTATTTGTCTTTTATACTTACGAATCAATACATTTTTATGTTTTGGAATGGTATAAAGATAGGGGGAAGCACACACAGAACTTCTTAACATCACCTAAATGTAATGGAAATTAATTATCTGTTCCTAAATTGTTCACCACAAGTAGATTTCACATTAAAAATAGGTCTGCTTAATTTAAAATTGAGATGAGAAAATGTGGTAAACATAAATATGTTCAGTATAATTACGAAATATCCCTTTAATGTGTTGCAATCTAACAGCCTTATAATGATAGTGATAAAGAGTTGCATATTGATTTTTTATCACGAATGTTGCCATAGTACCTGATATGTTAAACCTACCTGGAAAACCATAAGAAAAGCCGTTCTTCTCTTCTCACTCAAACACATCGACTGTCTCATAACTTCCAGCCACCTGACAATAACAAATGGCTTCTCTTGCTGGCGACAGAGAGGATGGCAGTGAGAAAACAGGGGAAGGAGAGACAGAAAGGCTGATTGCCCTTGGGCTGCTCTTCCTCTTCTCACTCACTGGGGTATACAGTTCTCGCCTTGATTCTCAAGAAAACTAAGAGTTCTAGAAATGGTAAACAATGCTGTCTTTCAACAAATCTGCAGCATTGACCTAAAATGACCTTAAATAGTTGGGAGCTTTGCCTAGTTTCTGATTCTGGAAAATAAAGTCACTGCTACTAGATTTGTGTAACCTAAGTAGAGATAAAAGCCAATTTTAGAGACAGACACAGACAACAGAGTTGCATGTATTTGCTTCTCAGTAATTTCTTCAAAAGGCTCTAAGTCCCAGTGTACTCTAAATACTTCACCGCACAGCCTGCATAGATCCTCCCACCCATGTACATATTTGTGGAAAGGATTCTGGTAACAATCGGATTAGGGTTAGAGTCCCCAAACTGCTCATGCATTCCCAGGACTGCTCAGCAGTCCCCAAACTGCTATGCATTTGTTCATAGATGTGACTCAGGTAGCTCCCCCCCGCCCCCATATGTAAAGTTGTCGTTGGCACACACAAACATTTTTTATTTATATAAGGATAGAAATAGCAAATACTCCTAGATCTCTATAGCAACTTACATTTTATAAATAATGGTTACAGTTGACTTTATCGTGGTGTAAAACAAACTAGCCCGGGCGCTGTTAGAGTTTGTATTTGCAAATGAAGAAACTGAGGTGAGAGAGACCAGAGCTGCTCAAGCAGGAAGGAAAATACTCAGAAATGAGGAACACTTGCTCTCAAACATGCAGGACCAGAGGAGTGAAAGAGGATTCTAAGGTGAAGATGACTAGCACCTTCGTTTCCATCCTTCCTCGCCTTCTTTCTCTCCACTTGGGATTCCTAGCCACACCACCCACTCGTGGGTCTGATCTCCTCCTTCTTGTCTCTTCAGCCTCATCCTCTTGCCATAAACTCAGCTGTTCCAAAAGCTTAACTATATTTTGTAATTGAACTGCATTGTTAAGGTGATTGGTTAATTAGGCTCCAAATGTTCCAGTATGAACATCTAGTTACTCCCATCAATGAGCAGGTTCTCTGGACTATTGTGGCTATTGTGAGTCCCCCGAGATATCAGGGAGGCTGATTCGGTCCAGGGCAGCTCTCCCCACTGTGGCTTCCAACACAGACCAGTGATGTCTCTCTCTTTACAAAGAGAGGCAGACTCTAGTGCTATGTGCTGCTTCTGCAACCCTATTACTTGTCCCTATTTTCAAGTGTTCCCTAAAATTCATGAGATTTGTGAATGACTTTTAAAATTCACAGCCAGGTATCAACAGCCCTGTCCTTGTTTTCTGCTTCCTTTCCTGAGGCAATGATCTAAGTTATGCCCAAGAGGGAGGAGTCAAAAGGTAAAGAGGGCCATGCCTCTTAGCCCAGCACTTAAGCATGACAGAGAAGGTGGAATCTCTTGTAGCCAACCTGGGTTCTAATCACTGTGCTCAGGATCCTGATAGGATAGAGCAATGGAGGAAAACAGACTGCCAATGTGGCAAGGAGGGGGCGCTCTTCCCAAACCTTGCATTAAAATTAAAAAAAAAAAAAAAAAAAAAGAAGAAGAGGCAGAGAAAATACCAAAGGGTGGAGAAAATCTATTCATTTTTAAAATTTTCTTTTAGCACATCAGTTAATTTTTCTTAATGCAGTGCCTAATACATATCAGAACTAACATTTGTTCTATTTTGTTTTTAGGTTTTTGCCATAGAATGTGTGTGCTTGCAGGAAAGAGGCAGAGAGAGACAGAGACAGGGAAAGTGAGAAATCATCTCTAAGGGGGGACAGTCATGCTGCAATCTCTCCATCTCCACTCTCCTCTTGGGATTTTTTGGGCATGCACATACATATGCCCGGTGTGATTTTCAAGTCATGGGGTTTGGGTCTTGAACTGCGGTCGGCCATGTGGGATCCAGCACCCCAATCACCATGTCATCTCTTAGTCCCTGTACTAATATGTTATTTCATTCAATGTGCAACTCTTTTAAGGTAGGAATATCTGAAACTCAGAGAGGGAGAGTAATTTTCCAAATCACACAGCTTAAAAGTGGTGCAGCTGAGATTTGGGTTCATTAGTTTGTTCATTCACTTGTTCCACAGATGTTTGTTAGTCTCTACAGTGGAACAGACACTGTTGGGAATACGGCAGTGAACAAAGAAGATTCCCACCCCCAGACAGCTCAGATTCAGTAAGGGAGACAGAACACATGAAAGTATATGCATGATATAAATTTCCAACAGTTACAAGTTCAATGAAGAACAGAAAACAGTCTGTCCCCAGAGCCCATGCTACCTGGTGCTCCCTTATTCTCTTACGGAAAATTATGGGGCAGAGAGCCAGCATTTACTCTGACACAGTCCTCCCCTTTATTCTTTAAATTACTGATGCATTTGAAATATACCTGTGAGAAGTATACAGTGACTTGAGTTGGACAAGTAGGAATTTCCCTAAGTGCTATTCCACATTGATAGCTTGTCCATCAATATTATAATCAGTTGATAAGTCATATCTTTTCCTCTCTTTTTTTTTTCCCTCACACTTACTCTCATCCCTATTCATCTTTTCCTTTGTTTACACATTCTTTGATCCATTTATGCAATAGACATTCAGACATGCCTACTCTGTCCCAGGCACTGTGCTGTATGCTAGAGCCACCCAGATAGTGAGAAATGGGATTTACAGCCTGATGCAAGTAAACAAGGACCTGGCATTTGAAATGCTGTCAGTCTGCAGAGACATCTGGCTCCTTGGGGACATGGGAGAGAATCTCCACCCACTAGAGCAGAGATCTCCAGGTCTTGGGAACCAATTGTACAGCTGACAATGAACAATGATGATCCTTTCTTCTAAAGCTCTATCCAGCCCCCATAGGCCTACAGTCTTTTGTAGGCAAATCCATCATTTCTTAGGATCCCAAGAAAGGCCAACCATGAGGCTTCTTATTAATATGCAAATAGTGTAAAAGATTTGAAAATCATCTCTGTGTAAAAATCATCTAGGTAGGATGTTCTCTCTTAAATATATCATCTCCAAATAATTTTTGTCTCCAAGCGATCAGTACCTACTGCCTTCAATTTTATTGATTGTGTGTGTGTAAATCCGTTCACTGATATTAGCCTAAGCATATTTGTGGGTTAATGTTTTGTGGTCCAAAAGCAGAAAAACATTTGAAGTTATCTATTTATATCTGCTTTTCGTAAAGACTGACAGTGAAGGGTGGGAAGGAGGGGCCCAGGGAGGGAAGGACATTGAACAGACTCAAGAATGGGAAGTTGCCTATTCAGGATGATGTGTACAATAATATGTTAGACTTTTTTGATACGCAATGCATTTGAAAAATTATGTTGTATGCTGTAAAAATGTACAGTGATTAAATGTAAATAAAATATGTGTAAAAGACTGATTTCAGAACAAGCAGTACAATGATTTAGAGTTTGTCAAAAGGTTCTAACCCATTTACAAAGCCATTTAGAAGACAATTGATAAATCCACACTATGGGTAAATATCGTAATTGCTTTAAAGAAATGGTATAAAGACAATGCTTGGCTAGAGGAATTTCCTGAAGAATATTCAAGACTTCTGATGAAAATTTTACAGCTTCTTGCACCTTAGGGTATAAAAAGTGCACCATGGTAGGAAACTAGTTTTGAAAAACCAATAATAGAAAAGCTTGGGTAATTGTTTTTATTTCACTCATCCATGCATTTAACAAAAATGTGTATTTTGAACCTATTACACAGCACTAAGGAAAATCAGGAGTATAAAAAAGTTATGTATGTCAAAGTCCTTGCCCTCAGTTATTACCTAGAAAGATGAGAACTAAAGTGGTACAACCATAATCAATGTAATACTATTTTCAAATGATAAAAATGATATGTTACTTTGCTAACTGACATTTAGCAAAAGACTGATAGACCATAATCAATGTAATACTATTTTCAAATGAGAAAAATGATTTCTTACTTTCCTAACTGACATTTAGCAAAAGACTGGTAGTTCTAAATTCATTCAAATGCTCTTTAAATCTAGGAGCCAGAAAGTGTTACTAACATTTTTATTTTGTCTCTAGAATTTATCCTTTTTTATACTCCAAGCTAATTTCTTTGCATTTTTTAAGAAGAATTATTTATTTAATTCCATTTGTTGTTGTTATTTTTTAATTTGACCAGACAGAGACAGAGAAAGAGAAAGTAAGAGAGGAAGCCGCAGGGCCCAGGACTTAAACTGTGGTGGACCATGTGGGAATCTAACACCTTTATCTACCACACCATCTACTGGCCCCTATTTCTTTGTATTTTAAATATCTTGTCTTACAGCCATCAGAGAAAGGGAGAGGATTAGAACCATAAAGAACTGGAGTCAATTAAAGGAAATGCAAGTGGCCTCATTTTGCTGGAGTTTGTGTGGGGGGAAATAATAGGCAATGATGCTTGAATTATGGTCAGCTTTGACAATGTAGCAAGGGAGTTTGAGCTTTGGTTGATAATAGTAATTGAAAAGTATAAGAATTTGAGGGCAAAACAATAGGACAACAAAAGGAAAGTTTTGTAGAATTTATTTAGAAATGGTATGGGATGACACTATTTTCTAGCCTGGTTCTCTAAGATTTATGAAGGTTAAGATTTCTGTTCCTCTTATTCATCATTGTATTCCCAGCACCTGACACACACCCTAGCGTGAGATAAGCACTTAAAAATATTTGCTGAGTGAGGGACCAGCAGTTAGCGTAATGGCTATGTCACTGGACTCCCACGTAGTCCGCCGCAGTTCGAGTCCCGGACCTGGTGGCTTAAACTCACTCTAGGCGCGTGTGCGTGCTTGATCAAGATCCGGAGAGGAGAATGGAGAATGGAGAAGGGATTGTGGTGTGGCCATACCCCCTGGGGGGTGATTTCTCGCTTTCTAGCTCTCTGTTTCTCTCTGTCTGTCTGGCGAGCTCATGCACCCTATAGCAAAAACCTCTCCAAAAAAAGAAAAAAAAAAATATATATATATTTGCTGAGTGAATGGGCGAATGAATGGATAGGTAGATAAACAAGTGAATGAAAGGCAAATAGTATTAAGGGTTCATGTGCTCAACATCTCCTTCATTAGCAGAGGTTTGTGTTTCCTGAAACCGGAAAGCACCAATTCTAAGTAACTACCTAGATTTACACAGAATCAACAAAATAAAATCTTCTTTAGGAGAAAGCATACCTGTTACAAAGACACCATTACCCACAATGGAGAATACTACACCTTGGAAATCCCACAGCTTGGAGGATTATCGGAAACACGTCCTTTTCTGTGGAACAGAAGTTATCCAGGTCAAGCCCTCTGGACAGGGGCCTGTAAGAGCGGTCGTTTTGCAGACAGGTTAGTGGATTCCACTTTTGTAAATTTAGATCATGGCTAGAGGTGGGGAGAGTTGGATTAGGGAAATTTTGTTTAGGATTATGGAGTTGGCCACATTTTGATAATAACAGCCACGTTCTTTCCCAGTCAGACCTTTATTATTCTAAACTGCTACCATTTTAACCGAATAGTTAGCCTAGGTAACCGTTAAAACCCTGTATGTGATACAGAGTAGACATGGATGAAGTAAATGATCTCAAAAGCAAAACTATGCTCTTCTTTTTGCATGTGCCCATAGGCTTTTCCACTTTTCCCTCTGTACCTCTGCTGAGTGGTTACCACTTAAACAATTTCAACCACTGTAACAGTAGGTTGAGAACATTTTCCTTTCAAAGAGTTACTCCTTAGACTGTATTTTAAACTCCTGCTAGATTCCTTCATCTGGGTGCCCTACAGACACTTCAAAGTCAATGTACCAAAAGTGATTTCATCCTGCCATATTGCCTCTCTCAAAATATCACCATCGGGCTGGTCTCCCTTTCATTTATCTTTTATTTTTTCTTTTACTGTGTTTTTTAAATACAATGGGATAAATTTAAATTTTGTCCTAATTTGACTAAATATTGACATTGACAAAGATAACTTAAATCTCATAGTAGACCTCTCCAACAAGACATCAAAGTCAAAATGGGTAAATGATATTGTCAATTCAGAGTTAGTCCCTGAACATGAAACCTTGATATGTCCTGAAAATGTACAACTTTTATTTATATATTTTTTTTATTTTATTTTATAGTTTCTTATTCACATTTAATTCTGGTACAACTTTGTGGAGCACAGTATGGATTTTCAAAGCATGCAGGCAGTATGCAACAATCAAATCAAGGATAATACCATATTCATTATTTTCAACAAAGAACACACACACACACACACACACACATATGTGATATTTATTTGTTTTTTTTTTTCCACTCAGTTGTGGTATGCCATTTCACAACCCATTGGCCCCATTTGCCTACTGTGTCTGTTAAATAGTTATTTTTTTAATCCCCTCCTATTGTCCCCACTACTACCCACATCCGCTATTAAGCCCCTGGGGTCAACGATTGTCCTCTCTCTGTCTCTGTCTTCAAGTTTTTCAATATCTGCCAGAGAGAGCAGTCATTTGGCATATATTTTGAGTGAGGATACAGTGAGTCTGACTTATTTCACTTAGCATTACAATCTTCTAGAATCAACCACTTTGGATCAAATGATAGGATCTCGTTCTTTATGGCTGAATATTATTCCATTTGTGTCTATGTGCCACTTTTTTTTAGTCCAATCCTCAGTTATTGGACAATAGATTGATTCCATGTCCTTAGCTGTTGTAAATAATGCTTCAGTAAATATGGAGGGAACCAGCAGTTAGCATAATAGCTATGTCGCTGGACTCCCATGTAGTCGACCGTGGTTCACGTCCCGGACCCGGTGGCTTAAAACTCACGCCAGGCGCGTGTACGTGCGTGCCCAAGATCCCAAGAGGAGAATGGAGGAGAAGGGATTGCGGCGTGGCCATCCCCCCTGGGGGGTGATTTCTCGCTTTCTGTCTCTCTGTCTCTCTCTGTCTGTCTGGTGAGCGCATGCGCCCTATAGTGAAAAACCTCTCCAAGAAAATTAAATAAATAAATAAATAAATATGGAGATGGAAGTGTCTTTCTGACTGAGTGATTTCCTGCCTTTGTTTGTTTGTTTGCAAATAACTAAGAATCGAATTACTGGATCATATGATAGTTCTACTTGTAAATTTTTGAGGAACTTCCATATTGTTTCCTACCATACCTGTACTAATTTTCATTTCCACCAACAGTGCAGGAGGGCTCCCTTTTCACCACAGTGTCACGGGCATTTTTTGTTCGTTTTATTGATGATAGCCATTCTGACTGGGGTTAGATGGTACCTCATTGTGGCTTTTATTTGCATCTCCTTTCTGAGGAAAGACGTACAATATTTTTTTCTTACTCTATTTAGACATTCATATGTCTTCCTTTTAGAGTTGTTTGCTAGATCAATTGCCCATTTATTTATTTATTATTTATTATTTATTTTACACAGCACACAAAATGAATTTTCCCATCCAGAATACACTGTCTTTGGCTCAATCAAAGATATTACTATATGTATTATCTTCAACAAATAATTTTCCATTTTGTGTTTTTTAACTGTTTCACTTCTTTCTTTTTTGCGCTTGATTGCTTTCTGCTTACCCTCCGCCATTTTCCACCCTCCTCCCACACTGCAGTTGCTCTCCAGGCCTTTATGTTGTGCAGCATTTAAGTTTCTCCACACAGTGCAGACATCTGGTATATTTTAAGCAGGGATGTATAGTATCTCTCTTTTGTGGTCTGGCTTGCTTCACTAAGCAGCAAATCTTCCATATTTGTCCACTTTCGATCAAATTCTAGGGTCTCATTTTTTAAAAATTATTGAGTAGTATTCTGTAGTGTATATGTGCCACACTTTTTTTAAAAAGAATTACTTTATTTAACCTTATTTATTTATTTATAATTTGACCAGAGAGGGACAGAGTGAGAGAGCAAGAGAGAGTGAGAAGGCAACCTACTAGGTCTGGGATTCGAACTGTAGTCGACCATGTGGGAGTTCAGTGCCCTTAACCACCTCACCACCTGCCAGCCTCATGTGCCACACTTTTTAAATCCATTTGTCTGTTCATGGACATTTGGCTTGGTTCAGTGTTTCTTGTGCAGAGGCTTTTTAACCTGATGTAATCCCACTTGTCTATTTTTGGTATTATTGTCTGTGCTTTGGAAGTCCTATTAAGAAGTCTTCTGTCATTAACATCTACAGTATCTTCAACTGGACTAGTGTGAAGTGTATTCATGTTGAGTAAATTCACTTTACAAGCTGTGGCAATGTATAGTCATTGAATGTATAAAAGAAATTAAATAAGAAAAAAAAATTAAGTCTTTGCCTATTCCGATGTCTTCAAGAGTTTCCCTGGTGTTTTCCACCAGTAGTTTTATAATTTGAGATCTTAGATATAGATCATTGATCCATTTGGAATTGATTTTTGTTAAGGGTGAGAGATAGGGGTTCAGTTTCATCTTTCTGCAGGTGGATACTCAGTTTTTCCAGCACCTTTGCTGAAGAGACTTTTCTTTCTCCACTGGATTGTCTGGTGCTCATGATCAAAAATCAGTTGGCTATGTTTGGGAAGTTTATTTATGAGGTCTCTATTCTGTTCCATTGGTCTATCTGCCTGTTCTTGGGCCAGTACCATGCTGTTTTGATTATCACAGTTTTGTAATATATTGTGAGGTCAGGAAGTGAGATGCCTCCTATTCCACTCTCCTTGAGCAGTATTGCTTTGGCGATACTTGGTCTTTTATGATTCCAAAAAAATGCAATGAGTGTCTTTTCTGGAGCTGTAAAGAATGTCCCTGGTACGTTGATTTGGATTGCATTAAATATGAAGATTAATTTGAGTAGAATTGACATTTTAATTACATTAATTCTCCCAATCCAAGAACATGGGATGTCTTTCCACTTTTTGCTGTCATTTTTAATTGCTTTCTAAGATTTTTCATAGTTTTCCTTGAAGAGGTCTTCGATTTCTTTGATTAGGTTTATTCCTAGGTACCTCGGACTTTTTGTGGTTATTGTAAATAGGATCTCTTTCTTTAACTCTAACACAGTCTGCTTGCTGTTTGTGTATAGAAATGCTAGAGTTGTGTATGTTGATTTTATATCCTGCTACTTCACTGTGTTAATTTATCACTTTAATTGACCATTTTTAAATAGGGTTACTAGTTTTTCTGCAGGTAAACGGCTTGAGTTTCCTATATATTCTGGTTATTAATCCCTTATCTGAAGTATAGTTTGCAACTATTTTCTCCCACTCAGTCCCTTTATTTGTTGCTTTCCATGCTGTGCAAAAGCTTTTAGTTTAATATAATCCCTCTTGTCTCTTTTTAAAGTTGTTGTCCTTGCTGTAGGGGTCTTATTTAAGAAATCTTTGCCTACTCCAATATCTTCAAGTGTTTTCCCTGTATTTTCTACAAGTAGTTTTATAGTTTGAGGCTTTACATTTAAATCTTTGGCCCAGTTTGCCTGCTTTTGTTAATGGTGAGAGATAGGACTCCAATTTCATTTTTCTGCAGATGGATATCCAGTTTTCCCATCAACATTTACTGAAAATACTTTCTTTTCTCTGCTGGATTTTCTTGTGTCCTTTTTCAAAAATCACTTGGCTGTATGGTTTGGGTTTATTTCTGGATTCTCTGGTTTGTTCCATTGGTCTATGTGATGCTTTTTGTGCCACTACCATGCTGTTTTGATTATCACAGCTTTTTAATATATGTTCAGATTAGATAGTGAGAAGCTTTCACCTTTATTTTTTTTCCCACAATATTATCTTGATTAATGGGGTCTTTTATGATTTGAGACAAATTTCATTATTATTTCTTCTATTTCTGTGAATAGTGTCACTGGTAATTTGATAGGGATTGCATTAAATGTGTAAATTAATTTGGGTGGAATTGATATTTTGATCATATTGATTCTTTCAATCCCAGAAGGTGGATGATTCTATTTTTCTTTGTATTATATTCAATTTTGTTTTTCAGTTTTCTTCAGGAGGTCTTTCACCTCTAGGGTTAGTAAATATATATATATTTTTTTTTTTTTGAAGAGGTTTTTTGCTCTAGGGTACTTGTGCTTGCCAGAAAGACAGAGAGAGACAGAAAGCGAGAAATCACTCCCCACAGGGATGGCCACACCACAATCCCTTCTCCTCCATTCTCCTCTCATGAACTTGGGCATTCATGCACATGCACTGGCGTGAGTTTAAGCCACTGGGTTCAGGAATCGAACCTTGGGCGACTACATGAGAGTCCAGAGACATAGCCATTATGCCAACTGCTGGTCCCTGTGGTTAGTTTTATTTATTTATTTTTGTGGCTATCATGAATGAAATTGCTTTCTTTAGTTCTGCCTCAGTCTATGCATTGTTGGTCATA